GGGGTTCACAGAAATGTGTACTCTCTCTTCTCAAGCAGAATAATACTTTTCTCGCTGGTTAGGTTCTGATTTAGATCAAGAAAAATGCTCCATGCCTCCACTGCACAACCTCGTGTAGTGCAGTGGGTACCAATTTAGCTCCTAAACTGGTAGGATGTCAGCAGCATCATAACTGACTCTATCCTGAGAGCCAGGACAGACAGCTTAAGAGTCAGAACTATGGCACTGCTGTCTGTGGTTTGGTCCAGTGTCAGGACACAGCAACAGACCAGCAGCGCCTTGGGATGGCTAGCACAGCCTGGCACCGCAAGGAGAAGTTCCTTTGGAAGAGTGAACACAGGAAATGAGAAAAGCTTCACTTGGTTCCCACCCAGGGATACATGCAGGCCTGAAGGTGAGGTCTGTGTGGAAGCAGCGATGTGGCAAAGTCCTCAATACGAGCAAAAAAAAAGGCATGTGAAACGGTTCCTTTGTCAAGAAGGAGAAGGTGATGCAGTCAGCATCTGAAATAGCACCAAGCAGCAGGTGCTTTCACATGCTGGTGGCATTGGTGACACACACAGGGGTGCCAAGGGCAGAGCAGACTTTGCATGGTGTAGCCCTCTTCTCCCCAGTCTGCAAGAAAAGGGACAGATCTCTTGGCCTTGAGAAGAGTCCTGTCCCATTAGCACAGAGTAAAGCCTGCAGTAAGAAGTGACCTTGACCGCGTGCAGCTTTCTTACCCTTGCATCACAAGTGAGCTATTGACCAACAGTCTGAGAGTCCTTCACGGACTATCCATTATACTGCTCACTGGATTTAATTTTCCTCTCTCCATCAGCCTTCAGCATCATCCTTTTCCACCTTTTGAATGGAAAGGAGTCTTCACACCTTGTCCCAAGTACATTTGAACTCCCTGCATGCCTTCCTGGCCGTTTTTCTCCCTAAAATAAAATCACAAGCATGTTTGCTGGAAAAGAAAAAAGTGGACCAGCCACTGCTGGTGACTATGATGTGCCAACCCTAGTGTTGCTGTTTCCTCATCCTCCTCTTTCCAAAGCGTCTTTCTCCAGACGTGTAGCCACATGGTGCTTCGTGTTGCAAGCAGGCCCAAGGAGGTATACTTCTGATGAGGTGGGCAGCACTTAGGTGGCATGAGAGTAGAAGTATCAAAGAGAAAATGCGAAAGAAGAGAATGCTCCAAGTGCGTGGGGGGAAACTTTGAATGGGGAAGACAGAACATCCGCTCTGAGCGCTGGTGGCAGTATCAGAACTGGCATGTGCAAAGCCCGGACCAAGGCAGAGGCACACAGAGTGCTCTGTGCTTAAGTCCCAAGCTCATGGCAGCCTCAGTTCCCATTACCCAGGCTGGCTCTGGCCCCACATGCTTTTTCGTGGTAATGGTGCCTGCCTGTGTTGTGTGGGGTTTTTGTTCATATCCAAAATGCAGTCATGGTCACAAGACCATCAGTGGATACGCACAGAAGTGAAACTTATATGAGGAATCCAATGAAGTATTGTTCGCTCAGACTTTCTATCATGTTTTTTTCCCCTTGGTGGTGTTTCTTCTATTTTTACTAAAGTAGAGTCATTTCAAGTGAAATCCCTTGGGGAAATCCCAAGTGCTATTTTTTCTATCATCTTCTATCCCCCATTGCTTTCACAGATGCACAGTTTGAATCTAGCCAATATAATCCTCAGGTTTGATATTTAAGGAGTATGAAGAGGACCAAGCAAAACTACCCCTCTGGACCTTTCTTTCCCCCTTTGGTCAGAAGACTGCAAACACCTATGGAGGAAAAAAGGGGAAAGGGGGGAGGGGGGCAAAAAGAAAGAATAAAAAGACAAGAAATTAAATCATTTTTTCCCCTTCCCACCTGAACAAAATCAGCCCCAGATACTCTCCATAGTATATTCCCTGTTCTCTAGGGGTATAAACACATTTAAGAGTAACTAACCCATGTCTTTTCTTTAAAATACCAACTGCAAGTGAACATGTCAGATCACCACTGAAAATCAATGACCTTGTTTTCCTTTTTTGTATCATGAAATATAATGGAAACAATGACAGCAATAGCTCAGGATTTAGCTTAAAGCATATTTTAACAGCTAACACTACTCACAGATGTTACCTACAATCAATTGAACCATGTATTGTACAGAACAAAAGGAGAAAGGTCTATAGGGCCAGAATTTCCTTCTCTGTCACTGGAGATTGTTTTGGATGGGTGACTCAGAGACACTAGTCCCACAAAGCCATGCATTTACATCCTTAAATGAGCTCTGCGTGACATACTACGTACATACTGCGTGTATGCAGACACAGCGTGGGGACACAGCTGCTGTAATGGAAATACGTGATGAAACCAAGATCAGCAGCACTTCATGCTTCCTGGCATCCTGACCAGCCGTTTGCACGCAGCTCACTCCACTGCCTCCAAAAGAAACACAAGGCTTGAGAATTGTACAAGCTGAGAAGGAGGAGAAGTCACCAAGCAGAGCTAGACACAGCCCAAAGGTAAGATGATGATAGAGAATATTCCATTGTAGTAAAACCTTGAAAGCTTTTACCTTGCTACAAGATCTGAAAACTAAATATATTTTACATAACTTGTTTTGCTTATAGCATATCTACTTTTGGGGTTTAAGAATGAACAGAGCTACCCTTTTTGTTCATGCTTTAAATAATGTTTGCTGTTTTGCTTACAAATCTACACAACAGACTCTAGTCTAAAATGCCTTTTTATCATAAAGAGATTTTTCTCAGGTAAAAATCTCGACAAGAAGCAGACATTCTGTTTCTCTAGACACAGAATTTCCTATACACACTATCAAAGAAACAAAACCAACAAAAGAAGGACTGAAGGTAAAAAATAAAGGACTCATGAAATCTCCTACAGAGGCAATGAAGTAAAAAACTTTGCCAATATTTATTACTTTTCAGTGATTCCTTAAGTAATTTTTCATCCCTTTGGCTCTCAGTAATGGGTTCTTTCCCAGCACTGGACTTCACTTGATGCAGACGACTCAACAGAGCAGTGTATTGGGCAGTATCTCTGCCCAGCTCATCAGTGTAACCCCTCACCTGCCACAGGCCACCTGAATTTAGAAGTTCAGGGACCCAACCCAGCTCCCAGCAAACTCTCCAGCCCCATGGCTGCAGGAGGATTTAACTCCCAGGCAGTGAACGACTTGCAGCGTAACAAGGGGTACTTCTCACTTCCAGCCTCTCAGATCCCCACGTGCTTCACAGACTCAGGCTTTCCTGTCCTTTTTATTTGGTGAGGGGGAAATTCATTCTTTCCCCTCCAATTGCCCTCAGTCCCTTGCAGACAGCAGCAGAGCAAGCACTGCTGCCAGGATGGCTGTCCCACTGAGCCATGTCCACCCATGCCATACAGGCAGTGGTGCTCTGAGGAGGAGACTGGTAAGTGCTTTACGCAGCCAGCAGCACTGCCTACTGCAGGGAACTGGATAAAACCTGTACCTGCTATAGCAGTGGATGGATGCCTGTGTTTGACCCCACCAGAGGATTGCTCTCCTGTACCCACAGCCCTGTCAGCACCTCATTGTCCTCATCAGGCTGGGTTTCTGCAGCTGGTTTTCTCGCTTCTGTAATGTAAACAAGTATCTCCCAGAATCATTTACCTTGAGGACACCAGTGTGTCCTCAAGAAGCAAACAGCCAACCTGCTCTGTCTTCCTAACAATAACTGCTAGGTTTTAAGAAATAATTACATTTCCTTTTTGCTGATCCTAATCTCTGCCAAAGAGAGACTAATCTCCCTCAAACCACTGTGCAAGAGAGCTTACCTCCGAAATACTCAGGAAGTAACTTGATCTGTAGAACAGGAACTTCCATTGCATGTTTGAAAACAGGTTCACAAATCTGAAAAGAAATAGCATCAAGATCAGTAACTCGTAGGAAAGGCACTAGGTGGAAATAATAACATTTAGAGAGCATCAGATCAAATATAATTCCTGGGTGCTGACAGAAAGATCTCCGAAAGGGTTTATTTACAGGTTACATTTGCTGTGATGGAAGTGGCTAGAAGAAAGGACCAGCTAGTCCGTGCATTTGCATTTTAAGTGATTCTGGCTGATTCCAGCACTGCAGAAACCAATGAGAGCCTTCCCGTTTCTTATCAGCAGTTTGAGGGCAGGACCAGACCATCACCCTTCCTCTAAAGAAGAGGATTACCCCATGTCCCCTGTTCACAGGGTGCCTACCTCCACATTTTTAGTTCCCTCTTTGCAGAGAAGAAACCAGCTGTTTTCTGCACCTCCTGTCTCTGCAGACACAACTTTATCTGCTGTGGTAAGTCTGGCTAGTTTAGACAAAACCTTGGGGTCTTAAATCTCCTTCTGCTTATAAAGATTTGGCCTCTAATAGAAATAGCCTGTTTGAAACTTCCTGCTTGCTGCTTTTAGCAAGCTTGTCAGAAGGGGCAGAGGTAATCACAGCCCTTCTGCTCGGTGGTGGTGGGAGAGGGTGCAGGATGGCAATGACCATTTGGGATCTTGACATTAATAAATATGCAGGACCCTTCATGCTTTTGGCTCCCCAAAATCTCTTATGATTGCTTGATTCAGGAAACCTGGTCCAACTAATTGCCTCTATCTGCACAAACCAAGTAACCCTAAAACCAGGGTCTGCTACCCTGGCTTTGCAAAGAGATCTCATCACTCTGAGGGGATGGTGCAGTCACATCTATATTCTGCCTAGCCTAACTTATCGGGCAGCATAATTTTGGGTAACAGTGCCAGTGAGGCTTGGACCCCAGAAATCTTTGCTTCTCCTCAAGGCACAATCTTGCCCCAAGATCCCTTGGCACTGATAAGATCCGTGTTTCTGGGAACTGCAATTCAGCACCCAGCAGTCAAAGAGGAAAAAGCATCTCTACGGACACAGAGACCTCATTTGCCTTTGTACAGTGTCTTAAATGTGATCTTTATCCTTCTTTGTGGTGAAGGTAATTTCGTTCTCTTCCAGCTGGAGAATACCTCTTCATACCTGGAGATATGAATGAGACCCATGCCAACAGCAATGTCATCAGTATCAGCGCTACTGTGGAACTGTTCCAACTCATCATGTACACCCCCATATTCACCCTGGGATTGCTGTTCAATGTGATGGCTCTGTCGTTCCTGTTTTTTAAGGTTAAAAAGCTGTCAGAATCTACGGTCTACATGATAGCCCTTATTTTCCTAGATACTTTGCTGCTATTTACTCTTCCTTTTAAAATCATTTCCTACCACCTTCAGGACCATTGGAACTTGGGCTCTGTGTTTTGCTCCACCTTGGAGAGTCTTTACTTTGTAAACATGTATGGCAGCATCCTCATCTCCCTCTGCATCTGTGTAGACCGGTACATTGCCATCCAGCACCCTTTCAGAGCTCCCGCCCTGAGATCCATCAAGAAAGCTGCTATGGTCTGTGCCATCATCTGCCTGGGCACCTCTGCTGGGACAATCTCTACTTTCCAGCTGCATGGAAAGGGCCACAACATCTCATCCTGCTTCCATAACTTTTCCAAGAGCACATGGGAAAACAGAGGCCTGTTCAGCACCTTAGAAGCCACCTTCTTTGGCAGCATGGCAACCATGACCTTCTGCACTGCTCAGACCATCAGGTGCTTGAGAAAGCACAGAAAACTGGGTAACCCCCAAACACACACCATGAGGGCAGAGAAGATAGTGGTGACAAACCTTGTGGCATTTCTGGTGTGTTTCACACCTTACCATGTGGCATACTTCATGTACTTCTTGGTGAAGAATAACATCATTCACACCAGGTTTCAGCAGGTGCTACGAGACATCCTTCAGGTCACCCTTTGCTGGGCAAACTTGAATTGCTGTCTTGATGGGGTGTGTTATTATTTTGTTTTAAAGGAGTCCTTGGAGGACCCATTACAAAACAGTGTAAAAACAACCACATGAAAGCCTTGATCCATGTGCTGCATATTTGTTACTTGGGATCATGTGTCAAGAGGTTTCCATGGGAAGTTCAGGGTCCTGAACTACTTCTGTAATCAATTTAATTTAAATATTCAGATCTTAATATATTTCATAAGAAACAGGATTAAGTCCATGTGCAGGCATCTGCTCTTAACTTTTTTTATTACTTTCCTTAATGTTTTGTATTAGCATTTATGAGTAAAACCAAATGGAATTATTCCTACAAATGGTGATGTATATCTCTTTGGATGTGATTCCTCTTTACTTCGTAAAAGAACTGACAAAATTATTCACTCACATGGGGTAGGATCTTTCAGACTCTGGGTCTACACTTCACCTGCAAATCTTCTTCAGGACTTCAGCTACTATAGGCTTGAGCTGCTGAGAAACAGAGACTTGGAGGTAAAAAGCTTCAGACTAAGTTTGTTACCTCCCCTGCCCTGATCATGTATGCTCACATTCACACCTCAGAGGTTTAGATCTGCACATGCTATATAGATGTGCAAATCCCTGACTTCAGTAACTCTAAATACAAAGGCAGCTTTAAGTTAACATGGGCACAGCAAGATCTCCATGCCATTCCTCCACTTGCTCTGCAAGGTGCAACGCTTGTTTTAGTGACTGGTCACGTGCATATTGCACTACTAACTAATGCAGCCACTAGCTCAAGTCAGATTAATTGACTATCCCAGTTCCAGGCTTCCTCACCACCTCCTCCCCTGCTCGCAGGTTTTTCACAGATCTGTTCTTTCCTTCTTGATTATAAACCTACTCTCATAAACAGCCAAACCAAACAAGAGCATGAAATGAGAAGCCCAGTGTAATGGTAAACACATGAATTTGAAGGAACACTCCCCACTTTATAGCTGGATAAGAACAGCCCTGATCCCTGAAGCAGCAGCCAGCAACATAAGATCCCAGGGGGAAAGCAACCTTTCAGACCTTGGAGCAAGATGACCACCACCACTTCCCAAACAAACAAGGCAGTAAAAATTAATCCACCAGCAGGAGCTTAACATGCCAGTCAGTTACTTCTTAACAGCGCTTATAGGCACCTGGATAAACTGAATGACAACATGCATCCAGCCTGGTGAAAGGCAGCTCACTGCTCAGGGGCACCCCAATTGCTGCCTCTTTCCTGAGTGATGGGGATGACAACAACTGGAGCAATTAGATTTCATAGTCACATTGAGCTGGATCCTTGCAATGCCTCTTCTAGGCAGGGATACTCATCCCAGCCTTTGAACTGGCTTTTCTCTGTACACTTTGGAGAAGGGTAGCACACAAACCGTGCACTGATTTCTCCCCCAAGCTGGTAACTCTGAATTTGGAGACTCCAGCTTTTAAAAGTTAAATTTTCTGAAGTTGCTACATCTGTGTATGAGATTGTAAACACTGACCAAACATAGACATAAGTGTGTGCTGCTGTTTACAGAGTAGGTTTAGTGTTCAGGCAATGAACTGTGTTTGAGGTTATGCTCACAAGGGCTGTGCATTTAGACTAACAACGTCCTGGTCGTGTTCAAGTGCATGAAAATATAACCCACCAGGATAATACAGCAAGAATTCCCTCTCGATATCAATTGCCATTTCCATTAATTCCCTCAGAATATTTAACTTCTCTGCTAGTAGATACTGAATCCTCATCACATCCTTGCTCATAACTTAATCTCTTAACTAACTGCACTTCAATAGACACAAAGGTTTTACCACTGCAACTTCATGGTCCTTTTGGAAGCATGATTAACAAAAAAAGAGAAGAAATGCAGAATATTTTTGTCACTTCTCAAAGCAGTGGGCCATGCCAAGACGTCCTCCACTTTAACTGATAATGCCTGAACATAGGGAACAGGGATTTTGTCACTACCTCACGAGGCATAAAATGCCAAAGTATGAGAGAAAACCAATCTCAATTGCTTTTCTATAGCCTGAGGCATCTCCATTAGTTTTACGGACATGGCTTTGGGCTTATGCTGCTATAATTGAGAATAGAAGCTCACTTAAAGTTTTGTTTTCCCTCTATTGTTCAGGTTTTCCCCCCCATTTTTAAATATGTCTGTTTTTTACTTACCTGTTATCCTGCTGTCCTTGGTCCCAGGATCATAAAGTAACTCACATGTTCATTTCATTTCGAGTGCTGCTAGAAAGCAGTGACATTAATATTACATTTAGGAATTCTGGGGTTCTTGGCTACCACCTTCAGCAGTAACATCCTGTTAGAGGAGGCAGGGATGATGACCAACGTAAGCATAGTTAAAACTGTATGAAGGAGAAGTTAAAGGCATTTCCTTTTCTCCCAAGCCTCTCCCCTATATTTTTCCGGTGTTTCTGGCCATTGATTCTTCTAGAAGCAAAGAGACTGAGATGTGGAAAAGCTGCACCCTGCTTACAAGAAGGGTACAGCCAGCCACCATCTCAGGTCCCTGCCTCTACACATGACTCAGTACCTCTGCCAGCAATAAGAAAGCACTAGTAGCCAGGGCAGGGTAACAACTTTCATTGTAGGTTTCTGGGGCAACATTTTGCAAAGGCAACATTTTCTACTCACATTCTCTGCTGGATCTTATTGCTTCTCGGCCTCTGAACAATCACTTTCCAGGCCAAATCTGGTGTGGTCCAATCCTTTCTTTGCTCAGGTGAGTAGCTATAGCAGCTCTTTCATTTGTAGGGCTTTCTATCCAAGTCATGACACTGGGTATCTAGTGAAACCAGACATTTCTGTTTGCACCAAAAGAATATTAAAGACAGAGTGCTAAGAAAGAAAAGGAGAAGGAAAAATCTAAAAATCTGCAATCTAAAGTCATCACAGGCTTTCCAGAATACAGATCCAGATGAACAAAGAAAGGAAAAGCAAGGACTTGTTTGGAAATCATTCACCCCTAAGAACTGAGGACTCATTCCTAACACATTCTGTTCTTCACTAAAAATCACTCGTTTACTCTGAGACAATGCAAATGGGGGCTAGAGAGCTGTTATGGAGCATTTTTTCCACATACACATGTTTTTGCATTTGGATAGTGAAAGGTAAAGAGTTTAAACCAGCACTGAAAGCCTTGCAGTGAAACTCAAACTTAGGTATCCACTAACTGCACATCTGTCCTTTGCTTCCCAAATTTCTGTTCTTCTGGTATAGCTATAATCTTGTGTTTCAGGCTCTAGAAGTATCTGTTTGGGTTGGGATGGAAAAAGTTTAAGAGAAAACATCACTTATTTGCATATAACAACAGAAATCCCAACCAGAAAGAGAAAGAATCAGCCCAGGTACCAGGCATCCAGTATCTCCTACAGATTTCACTATTGCCTTTTATGTTTTATGAAAGATGTTCACATACAATGAATGGAACAAAATATTTACCATGAGCAATGACACATGGTAAACATGATGGTCAGTAATAATGAGAAAAACCTCGGAAAAGCAAGTGTCAAAGCTCTTATAGAAATTCTCCTATGCATATACTCCTCTCAAAGTGTTTTTAGCATTTGTATAGCCACTAGAAAGGGTTAGAATTGTCCTTTGTTTTCTCTCCAGAAAGACAGTGCCATGAGCTAAAGATGAATTTATAGCACTCCAGATGCCAGGCAGAAGCCTTCTGAGAAAACTTGCACAGACAAGAAGTGTGAAATAGTTGATTTTGCTGTGAAAGTGGAGTACTACAGACAGGCACACGCAGAAAACACACCCCAGTTCACAGTTAATTCCCCACAGAGCAAAGCTGTTTGTATGCTCTTTTCATCTGTTGCGTTTCCTAGTGGTATGAGATAGATGTCTAATGAAGAAGTAAAAATGTCCTAAGTGACACAATAAAGTGATGGAGCATTTCCATTGCTGACCTTGGTGTGACAGAGACAAGCAATGTGCCCAGTTTTGGTGGGAGGATACTCTTGCTCTCAGACTCAACCCGTGCAGTTTGCTCCTAGATTTGCAATGGGCCATGCAAGGCTACAATGCAATCAAATGCTCCAGGTCACCTTACTCAGCCCTGTTTTCACCCTCCCTTCATATGCCTCTGTCTTCAGCTTCTTAAAGGCAAGTAATTCTCTAGAAATGCTCTTTTGGATTTCTTCTTATTAAGAAACTTCTACCATAGCAACAAACTCTGATGAAGCACCGTCTTTAGCTGCCAAGAAAGGCAAAGGACACCTATAACCTCCTTCATTTTATCTCATTTATTCTTCTCATTCTGATTTTTATACACTGTCGCTCCATAAGAATGACATGACATCATCTAATGTGATAAAAAACTTGCTGCTGGATACTGATACAACCAAAAGTCCTTGAGGAATCAGAAATGTTTCCCGGGAAGATAAGCTGGATCAGCATCATTTACAGACACCAAAGGATGTAGAACCTCACATCTGCTGTATGGTACTGATTCCTATTAATCTTTGTCTCTGTTCCAAGACAAAAAAGATACTAAACTGGGATTATATTTGAGAGCAAGTATCAGCATCTTAGAGTTATAAACACTGCCAGGCAATTGTTAATCTAATACTAAGCATTACAAACCCAGGAAATCCAGTTTAGATTACATTTCAGAGTATACTAACACAATCCAACCATTCCCTGTTAAATATTAACTTTGTGACTACAAGTAAAGCCACCTCCCAGAGACTAGCATCAAACCTGGTCCTACTTGGCCAACAGTAGGATCTGAGACACTGAAGGTCACTGTCTGAAATAGCTTTACTCAGTTTAAAGAGAAGCTTAGGAAAGCATGAAGAAGCAGAGAGAGACAGCATTTGTAACCAACTCCATGCTATAATGGCAAGGCAAAATATAACCCTACATGCAGTAGCAACAGTGAAACCTTTAATGGCCCCCGCCTTTTACAATAGAGAGGGAAGAATAACACGTTCCCATGTTTTGGAACAACGGGGCAGAAATCAAGCAGTACCAGAGTCCTACCCTAGATTTAATTTCTGGTCATAATCACATTGTTCACATGGTTATTATACTTGATGCTATTGAAGTTTGGGGTTAC